TGCCTGCTGGGAGGCTGCCGGACAGGCAGAGCGGGCTAATCTCGGGGTTTCGAGGAGGTAAAATGCGGTATCGCTTGTTTCTAGCGTACCATACATCCCCGTAAGCTACTTCTGGGATCTGCAGCCGCAGGGAAAGCACGAGTGGGTGTGAGGCGGGTGAAATCGGGGCTGGAGTAGCTACTTCGTGGCCTTGGCAGAGCTGCTATTGAAGGCATAGGGTAGGCTGCAAGTTCTGGAGCAGAGCAAGCGATGCAGCTCCGAGTACGGCTAAAAAATGTCTCTTCTGGGGTTGCTGTATCACGCGGGGAAGCTGCTGTTTCTCACGCTGTGCAGCTTGGAGTCAGGGCAGGTTTTTTAAAGCGCGAAGCAGCTGCAGAACTGCCCAAAGTACAAGAAATCGAAAGTCATCGACTTTACCACATGTGGTAGCTTAAAGTAAACAATGGCGGGTGGTGAGTGCAGTAGTGTGGGTAACTGAAAGGATTCACAGACAGCAGTTCTTGCAGTACGTATGAACTGCAGTGCTAGATTGTGTAGACGACTAATTGAAATCTTGGAGTCCTTGAGGCTAACTAGCTTTTTAATAAAGTTTTCAAGACTTGTTTTCGTTTTGCTTCTGTTCTTCACAAACCCCACGGGGGCATATAAAACCACAAACCAACTTTAAAGTTTGCATTTGGGCACCCAGCAGACCATTTCTGCTATTACTATTCACTTTAAGGGAACCAGAACATCTTAAAACATGTGCTGCAGCTTAGCTTTGCCCACTCCCTTTAATTCTTGCTGGGTGCATTGGAACACCTGAGCCCATGGCGGTAATGGAAGGATCTAGGTGGGCTCAAGAATGAGCTGAGCTCTTTGAACGATTAAACAGTGCGGGTGTGTATGTTAGACAATCAAAATACCATTGTAGCCACAAAGATTATTAAAAAATTTTATTAACAGGAATGAAACAAAAGCTGTAAACAAGAGCCAGCAAAAATGAGAAGTTGCATGTAATGCCGAGTCCTCTGGCTTGTTTGAATGCACTGAACAATTAATTCTTCATCGCTTGGTGGCAGTAAAGGCCCACGTAAGAAGATGCCAAATAACAGTCCGAGGAAGAGCTTCAGGGCAAGGTCAGTGTGCAGGCTTTGGGAAACAAGTTGTACGGAGGGAACTTGTGACGGGGGAGATGGGGGTTGAGTCTGGCTTAAAGTTTAGGTCTAATACCACACACACAGTTGTGGTGTCTGCTGTAGTGCAGTTAGCTCCCAACAGGCATATTTAAAATACTCCAGAGGGTAACATTTACATCTTCCTTATTTAAATGAGTTTTTAAATTGGTTTTGGTCCCACACTAAAGAAGTTAAGAGTTGTAAGCTTTTCCTTCAAGACAGCAAGACGCAAGGCTCTCCTGCCCTGCGAGGAAGAGAGAAGGCAGCAACCTGATGGGAGCATTAAGAATACTGCTGGTTGTTTTTGCCTTTGGGGGACTCCCTATAGTTTCTGGGGTAGCGTGTCTGCGCAGTGACTGGCACCTGGGGACAGGGGCTGCTGCCGCACTGCGAAGGTCGGGCTGAGGAAATGCAGCGCCGAAGGCAGACTCGGGTATTGGAGCTGTTTGAGCTGTTCTGTGTCTCTCGGCTGGGCTGGCTCTTCCCTGCACAGCTGGGATACCAAAACACGGGTACTTAGCAAGCTCAGGACTAGAGAAAATCCCAACTCCCTTTTTTTCTTAACCTCAGCCAGCAAGTGTGTGCTACACAGCCCAGAATGAGAATGGAGGTGGCTGTGGGATAAGCAGCTTCAGGTAGGAGACACTGGTCAAGTAGCAGCCACAGGAGCACAGCGAAGCTCACCAAAGCCGTGTGAAACAGCTTACAGACTCCTGCACACTTCTTGCAGTGCCCGAGTAACTTGTGTTCTGTTGCTACTTGCAAACAAATCTTAAGAGAGCGCTTGTAGCAGGCATTGCCACCTTTTAGAGCGGGTAAAGGTGAAGAGAATTGTTCCAGTTATTTCAGAGTAAGTCTCGGCAGAGGAACGGATGGCTGCTGCTCCAGCTGGAGCAGCTGTGCCGGTGCTGGCCGTCCCCTTGGATCTGTGGGGAGCAGTGCTGCTGAGGTGGGACAGGGGGGGCCCTGACTGCCATTCCCCCACAGCCCCTGCTTGCTGCTGCCAGCGGAGCTCACCTGCCCGCTCCTGCGGTGCTGGCACTGGCAGCAGGGGTCTGCTCCAGGCTGTGCGCTGCAACTATTCCTGCAGGAATGGTTTTTCAATAAATAATTTAAATAAAATTTAAATCAGACAGTTGAAAGACTTATTTGTCCCTAAAAAGCTATTTAGGAAAAAAATGCTCTGTTTGCAGTAGGTTTATTTTAGGATCCTTTTTCATACTGTTACTGTGCAGGACCCACTTCACTTTACTGTTGCTCACTGAGGAGTGTAGCTCTGAGGAGTCCCTGCCTGAATCACACGCAGTAGCTGCGGAGGGTCTTTGTGTGCGTCAGGAATGCAAAACAAGGGGCAGGGGCGTCTGAACCGACTGCTGAGAGAGCTGGTGCTTGGCTGGAGAGTGAAGGATGGGTTATTTTATTTTACGTGGCCCATTTAGGGCAGTGCGGGGAGGTTCAGTGTGGTGGGCACCTGTGTCGTGCACGTGGAATCTTCAAAGAAGAAACTTGCCAAAGGCCAAACACTTGATCCAAATTCAAATTTGTACTTAGAAGTGCAGCTTTAAAAAAAAAAAAAGCCAAATGCCTGACACAGACCAAAGGGGTGAGGAGTCCATTCAAGAGAGCTGGCAGGAGAGCCTGAAACCTGTGAAATCAATGCCTACAGCATTCCCCCAGCTTTCTTCAGCTAACAGGAAGAGCTGTCCCAAGAGAACTTTGAAGATATCAAAGCACTGTTGCAGTCTAAAAACACTATCACACTTACATGAAGGTATTTAGAATAAGCTGCAATACATTAGATTTCTTCTCAATTAAAGTACTAGAAACGGCAGTAGTAAGAGAACCAAAGCCTTTACCAAACAGATAAACATTCAGGAAATCTCTGTACAACAGAAAGGTTAGCAGGAGCTTACTCAAACAGACGGCTAAGCTCTTGTCTTCTGCAGGGAAGAGGAGAAACCTTCATCGAGGAGGTGTGTTACACCACATGAAAGATGGACAGACGTAAGTAAGCAACTGCAAAAATGGTTGCCTCAAAAGCAAGTCTTTCCTGTGTGCTCCAGGCCGGGGCTCTGAACAGCTCAATTCCAGGTACACGGGGAAAGAAAAGGGAATTTGGGACTTTTCCTACCCAGACGTTTGGTGTGGAGAAGGCTTTCGTTCCCCTTAGTCACGTCATAATTCCTATTAACACTAAAGAAGCCTCATAACGCTCCTGGCTGCTGCTGAACGGGTAGAAGCAGCCGGGTCTACCGACTGCCCCAGCCCTGGAAGGAGCGATGGCGATGGTGAGACCCCAGCTCACCCCAGTCCCTTCCTGAACGCCCACCTCCCACCTGCATGGGGACGAGCAGCTGCGAGCCAGGCGGGAGAAGCCGGAGGGCTTGCGGTGCGGATGGATGCAATGGGGGCTCGGGGAGCAGCACCTGGCATGTGGCTGCAGCCTGGCCAGCATCTGCCCTGGCCAAGAGAGCTTTTTCTGCTGCTGCTTCCATTCCCCATGTCTCAGCTCATCGTTTAGGCAGATACAGACACGACAGACAGACATGCACACACTGTCCACGAGGAGAGAGCGCGGCGCACAAACACTTGGCATGAGTCTCTGTACAAATGCACCGAGCGCATTAGGACCTGCAGCAGCCTGAGCCTCTCACTTCCTTCTGCACGTAGTCGTGGAGCTTGAATTTGGGCTCGTTGGGCAGCTTCATGGACCTGTGCTTCAGTTCCCTGCGGGAAGGGGAAAACCACGTTACTTTTCTGTCTACGCTGCCTGCTTCCAAGCTGCCTGGCCCAGCTCAGTTGAACTTGACTTGGTCTAGATGGTTTGCTAAAGCTCCCCCTGATGAGACGCTTCATAGCTCACGTGAGATGGTAAGTACCTGCCAGCACAAGAGCTGGAGGTGGGAGCCCAGGGAATGAAAAAGTGGGTGACAGTGCCAGCCTTTATCTCGAAGACTGCTGTCGCCCCATGGGAGAGGTGCCCAGCACGGCCGCCGCACCAGTCACTTACTTTGCAATGGCTGTGAATGCTAATTCAACATTGAGGCCACTTTTTGCGCTGGTCTCCATAAAGGGCACGCCGTACTCCTGCGGGACAAGACACACTGGCGTTAGAAATGTCACCCGGCGTGTCCCCGAGGGCTTGGGAGCTCCCAGATCGCGCCGAGCCCTGGCAGCCCCGGCCGACATTGGAGTTCACACCCTGCCCTGGGAGAAGGGCTCTGCCGCGGTGGGCAGGAAAAGCTGAGCGAGGGTTCACAGCTCAGGCGTTTCTTACACAAGTTCAGAAATAATTTTTGAGGACAAAAAAGTGAAAAACATTAGTGGAAGCTTAGAGGAAGAAGAGCAAATGAGGAGGAAAAGGAGAGCAAGACAAGGGAAGAAAAGCAAAGTGCTCCCAGACGTATTTTGGGTCAGTCGGGTCTCAGTTAACCATTTCACTGGCGTACATCATCAAGTACACGTTGTTGTACTCACACATCCCCTGTCAGAGCATGTAACAACCGACTCCACTGCAGCAGACGGACACCTCACGTACCTTGGCTAATTTTTCTCCATCTTCCCTTTTCACCACTCTGTCCTGGGCTGAATCCACCTGCCGACAGTAACGGCAAAGAGCAACTTGGGATGATTTGGAAGGTCAGCAGCAGGCAACCCCCATGTCCCTCCCAGGCTCCCCTGCCCGTGGCTGCAGCACGGCTCCGTTGTGGGACCGTCAGGGGAGGAAGAGGAGGCTCTGGTGAAGCTCACCTTGTTTCCCAGTAACATGAGGACCACATCTTGCTGCGCGTATTCATGAATCTCTGTCAGCCAAGCCTGGAGGGAGACAGCCAGAGAGAGGGGTTAGCAACAGCTCCGGGAGGAGGAGGAGGAAGATGGGGGGCTGCCTTGGTCCTGGGCACCTCTGTGGGAAATGCTGCCATCCCCGAGCAATGCCGGGGGGTGTTATGTGGACACAGGGAGGAGGTGGCTGGGGGTTAGATGCAAAACGAAAAGCCCAGCTCAGAAACGCAGAGGTGCAGGGCAGGAGCCGCAGGCAGCAGCTGGTCCCGCAGATCCCCTGCGATTCAGCAGCACCCTGGGAGAGGAGCTGCCTCTTCCCCGCGGTTCGGCAGGAGAAGCCAGCCAGTGGCCAGCGACTCAGCCCTGGGGACACCCTTTCCCAGGGAGCCCTGCGGACAAGTGGGTGCCCTGGGGTGCCACTGAGCCCTGGGGGACCCGCTTTGGCTGCTGATCAGGCCCCTATTTTCAAGGATAATGGCAGCCTTTCAACCCTGCTGCCCGCTCTGCCTGACCACAAGTGCTTGTAGGACTTTAACCCAAATTCCCCCTCGGTTGGGATGTTAAGACTAAACCTCCTTTTGGAGTATAAGGCTGAGGGTTTGCTCTGGGACATGTCCCATGCCCGTGTCCTGCACGCGTTGCCCCCATGCCGAGCGCATTCATCCCAGCATGTGGCTGAACCTGCCTCCCCAAGCCATGGGGTGGCTTCCCTGACCTCTAATCCAGCCTAATCTAATCAAACCTGCCCTAATTCCCTGTAATCCCTGGCCCCGCAGCGCAAGCGGCTGCTTGCTGCTTCCCGGGCAGGCAGTGCTGCCACAGCCCGTGCCCCGACGCTGCGCTTATGGCAAGCGCCGGGTGATCCCCGCTCCACCACCAGCTCCTTGCCCAGCAGCCTCCAGAATCAACACCCAGCCAGCCAGGGAAGTGAGGGATGATTCTGGATTAGAACCTGTCACTGACAATACGTGGGAGCCCAACACAGGTGGACGCAACCCCAGGACCCCATCACACCCCGGCTGGGCTCGGGGCGCTCAGCTCCACGGATGGGTTGGTCCAAGGGACACTCGGTCACTCCTGACAACCCCCCTCAGCTCCCTCCTGGCACTCTGCCCCTCCATCCCTCTTTCCAGCACCTCGCACTCACCCTGGGTGCTCGTTCCTCCCCAACGGGCCGCGCGTGTCCCGTGGCCGTCCCTCCCGCAGCTGTCCCTCCCGTGTCCCCGCAGGGCTGGGAGAGCTGATGCTGCGGATGGGGCCGCATTACCCAGTAGCGTGAAAGCTCCAAGTGATTTTCCGTCTCACTGCAGATCACAACCTCACTGCAGACCCGCAGCCTGGTTAATGACCAGCACTACTCTCCATTACAGCAGACACCTCTCCTTGAGCCATCCAGCTTGTCAGGCTGGAAAATGCTGCCGCTGGCCAGTCCCAGCTTGCAGGAAGCATTCCCAGTGCCGGTGGCATGGGAGCAGGCTGGCAGGACGTGCCCTGTCCCCCGCTGCAGGGC